AGATTGGTTATTTTAAGACGTATTTCTTGTAATTGTGATGTATTTTCTCAGTATTTTACAGAAACGTCAACTATTTAACATAGAAAATTCTACTGAAACCACTCTTCTTTCAAATGTCACATTTAATCGGCCGCGTGCAACCCAATTAGCGTCTACGCATCATCTGTCTTCACATCCACCCACACTTGTACCAGATTATCCAAAATCACAACAAAACACACTATTTTCAACCTTAGTATTACAAACATAAAGGTCACAAAAGTTTTAGTTGCTAGCGTTTTAGAAATTAGATTTTAAAGGACAGGCACCAAATGCACTCCTTGAGGCAGTCCAAATTTAACGTCGTTAAAATTAAATTCTAAAGTAACACGCTGTGTAATTGGACAATTTTGTTAATGGTGTTTGACAAGACACATACGGTTGACATGATTATTAAGCGTGGACACAATAATGCTCATATTATTATTATTTTAACTATATTTTCTAGACCTACTGTTAGTTATGTCCTACCATCTTTAATCAAGAACGTCAACGTTAGTCTAATACGAGTAACTAAAACCCGGTCTGTGAGCACGTAGAATTTTGTCCAATGACCCCAAGCTACCCATCCTTATCGCTCGCGCGGTTATTGGACAAAATTCTACGTGCTCGCAAACCAGACTATAGAAGTCTTTCATTGACCTTCCTTTTTGACCTTCATTGGTTGGGTTTTTATGGCGGTCAAGCTGTAAGTAGTTCCTGGTCCTGGCTACACAGGAGTTACAGCGGTGGGAATGAGATGTGAGAATAGTCCCGTAATAACTGGAATTCACGATCCTGATGTCAGACTTTAAAAGATGTCATAGGCGTCTGACACGTCTGAAACAATATTTTTTTAACATCGGCATCATAGTAAAGAGGTAGCAGGAAGGCGCTGGATGCAGGCCGCTACCAACCGTGCGATGTGGAAGTCATTGGGGGAGGCCTATGTTCAGCAGTGGACGTCCTATGGCTGAAATGATGATGATGATGATGATGATCATAGTAAAGTACCTACAATGATAGCACTCTTTTTAAATTAGCAAAATGAATGGTCCAGTAAAATCTCCTCTATTAAGGTAAATGTTTGTGTTCAAAGAATTAAAACAAACAACCTAACCAATCCCAAATTACATAAACCAACTGAAAAAGGTTTATACTTCCATCGATATCACTTAGCGGTTACTCGGGCTATAGAAGAGCCCTAATTACAGTAGATGGCCGTAAAGGGCCGATAAAAGGGTCAATTGGTTTTAATATTCAGCCTCTATTTTGCTATAGAAAAACTTAATTACTCTAAGGCTGAGTTGCACCACCACCACCTAACCTAACCTAACTTTGACCGTAACTATAACGATATTCTTTACGAGATCGAATCAGAAATGAGGAAATCCGTAAACGAACTAAAGTCGCTGACATAGCCCGACGGATTAACAAGCTGAAGTGGCAATGGGCAGGGCACATAGTACGCAGAACTGACGGCCGATGGGGCAGCAAGGTTCTGGAGTGGAGGCCGCGTACCGGAAAACGCAGCGTGAGACGTCCACCCACAAGGTGGACCGACGACATCATAAAGGTAGCAAGGCGCAGGAAGGCGCTGGACGCAGGCCGCTACCAACCGGGCAACATGGAAAGCATTGGGGGAGGCCTATTTTCAGCAGTGGACGTCCTATGGCTGAGATAATGATGATGATAACGATATTCGGTGTTTTTTGTATGCAGTTTGACAGATTTTTAACGTTTGTCAAAGTTAAAGTAAGAGTGCAACCCAGCCTAATTCTTTTCAAAAATATTTCAGCTATAGTGTTCTCGTAAATGTCAGCGATTCTAAGCTTGGATTTATTTATTTGTGAAAGGTTTGTTTTTGAGACGATGCCAACAAAGGTTGATAACTGAAAAGTCGTAACTATCATTATAAACATGCTGTCAAGTATTACATAGATAGATAAATGATATCTGAAAGCCTACGCCACACATAAACTGTCATTTTCAAGATACGAAAGTTGTATCTACGTGGTTACCTCCCACGTTGTGTGTGCTTTAAACTTGAATACTGAAGTGTATTGTCGATGATACTGAATAAACATTTATTTTCTTCTTCTTTCTTTCTTAAAGTCTTTTTTATGTAATAGTAGCGGCCGCCACGACTTCGTTTTACTCGCTTAGGGGTGGACTTTCATAAAATCCGTTCTTAGCCAAATTTCAAGTTTGTAGGTCTTTTAGCTTCTGAGATTTCGTGATTAATCAGTGAGTAGTATTTTACTATATTATTATAGATATGTACCTACTTGAATTGAAGTTCATCAATTTATTGGCATAAGTACGACCAGCGTGACGTGATTATTCCATACAATTTAGCCTCAGATCATAGAAGGGGACCCTTTCTATGATCTGAGAATTTAGCAGACGTCTCACACCAGCTGTATATTGTGGGCTTTACTGTAATATTATAATGTAGGTATCTACTGCTAAATGCAAATCCTTAAATCGATTTTGCGCTAGATTACTTTACAGCTTTCCACCAACTCCGGTTATTCCCTTAACGAAATAGCTTAACGCCACGCCATAAATCAGTAGAATTACGGAAAAATGGACGCCTGATACAACATGCACTCATATTATACCATATTACGTGATCCCTCGCCCACAGAAATAGGGCCATGATCGATATCACCATGCGAATCTAGAGTTACAGAGTTAAAATATACCATGAAGCTTTCAGAATAAAGCTCAGTTTAGTTTGATCCAAAAGCCGCTGAAACGTCGTAAAGTCAAGTATCGCAACACTATTATTTTGTAGCGCAGTATGATTTGCAATTTTATGGGACCAAATATAGGGTATTTGAATGTCCCCAATTGATATGCCTTACAAGAAATTGTTTTCGGTCTAAATCGGAAGGTCGTCTAGCAATTTGTGTGGGATGGTGTAGGATTTCAGTAATGCTTTGAAGTTATTTATAGGTTAACTCTTAACTTAGTTAGGCCCTGAGGTATAGGAGCGGCACGGGAGGTGCGACACCCGCTTGTTACTAGCGTTCTTTTAAAATAACGCTAGTTTTTACATAAATATTTTTACTAATGTGGGAAGTGTAAACAATTTTTATATGCAACATTTGAAAGATGAGGTGTGTCGCAGTACTGTCCAAGTCTTATAAGAACACTGACGTAAATAACTATAAAGTTTTGGAGCGATTGTTTTGAGATAAATTTATCTATCATGACTGATTTAAGGTAAGTGATAGAAAAAGTGAATTCCGTAACAAGTGGGTTAACATTTATGACGTGACCGGGCATACAAATCTGAGATCTCGCTGACGTCTGACCGTCACAAAATCACCTTCCTGTGGCACTCTCATACCTCAGATCTAGAGTTTCAACTATCACACGATCGTTCGTTCGTTCGTTTCAGCCGAAAGACGTCCACTGCTGGACAAAAGCCTCTCCCAAGGATTTCTACAAAGACCGGTCCTGCGCCGCTCGCATCCAGGCACCTCCCGCGACCCTCACCAGATCGTCAGTCCACCTAGTGGGCGACCTGCCCACGCTACGTCTTCCGGCTCGTGGTCGCCACTGAAGAACAATTACACGATCATACTGAAATTAATTAAAATTGATTCGGTGACGGGTGTTTTTGAGACGTCTAATGTCAGCGATACTTCATAAATTATTATGTGCTTCAGATTTGTATGCTCTGTCACGTCATAATGTCAATATCAATGTCACTCCTCCTTTGCCGCTCCCATACATTGACTGCTTAAATAATTAAAGCTAGACCTATTTTAAACATTATTTTATTTGCTCAATATAGCATTATGCTGCCTTAATTTACCAACTAAAGTACTGCCAACGAGAAGCGATACCAAATGTAAACAAACCCAATGTCATGTCTGACTTTGACATATTAGTTATTATTTTGGCGGGAGAACGAGACATTAATTAATACACAATATGGGAAGAGACAGAATAATATTGTCAATTAGACAGTCGTATCGACCTTTTGTATCGNGATATTAATCTCTACTCTCGGGAAGAAGTAAGTAATGAATATCAGCTAGCAAAAATACTAATTATTATCTTTTAAAAGTTAAAAATAAAGCCGGTTAAGCTTCGAAGTCCCATCATTATTTGTTTTAACACTTCACTTACCTTTCTTGCCTGGTTTAATTTTTCAAGATGTGTGGAAGGAACGTATAGCGCACACAACTGGCTAATAATGAGATCTTCGTTGAAAGTCACAATGTGTGACTTATTATTGTTTTGTCAACATCATAATTAGGTAGATAATGACTAGGGTATACTCGTACAAGATTATGGGTTTAAAGGTTAAGTAAGATATGCGGCCCATTCGGTGGTAGGTAAGTGTGTTATTGTAATGTACCTACTTAGATAGTGTGTAAAAAACAAGTAAGGTAACTTCAAGTTTGTTCGAATTAACCTTTAGTTGGTAAAACAGTATTTACTGCTAGATAATAGGTGCGTTGACACAATTGTATTACTGTAACATTGCAGCGGACTGCGTGAAGGGGCTTCCCGCTTTGTGTCTTGTCGCCTCTACCCTGTGTCGCTAATTTACCCAACTAAAGAAATAAAATATTTTTAAACCAACTACTACTACTAACTAAATATTAGGTATTTGTCCTTCCGGCACAGTGAAGTTAAAGCGTTCTGACGGCAATAAAAAACATTGTACCTAACTAGTTAGGCTTTCCCGGTGGTTTTCCAGAGCTTCTTGTTAAAATATTTTTATGTCACTGGCTAAAACTTACCACAACTTACTTTTACTCTTACTTTGTCTTGCCTTCATGGTAAAAGCTGTGTCGGGAGTTTCTTCCATTTTTTAATACATCCATTTCTGGTGCCCACTTATCTTTTAAGAATTTCAGTTCAATAAATTATACATCAGATAATATGATTACTTCATTTAATTCAAAAAGGGTTTTTTGTTTAGGATACGTCAATAGGTAATCATTACAAGTACAAAAACCAACTTAAACAACACGCCAATAAAAATTTATTAGTAGGTATTACAGTACATAATTTCAATGTTTATTATTCTACTTAACATGCTCAATAAATTAGTAAAGTAAGTTTAAATTTTTCATAAATAACTTATTTTAACTTACTCATTATTTTTGTAGCCAAAAATTGTATGCTTTGCAACTTAATGAGTACAAAATATTTTCAAAATCATAATACGAGTTCATTTAACACATTACATCACCTTTTTCATTCATTCATCTATGATCGTTATACTTAGTTAATTATTTGGATATAATCTTTAATAACGAATTTATTTCAATTCAAAGAAAACTTATAATAGTCTCCAACCGCACTTAAAACATCTGAAAACATATTGAGTGCCATGTCATATTGATATAATTTTTTCTCGATAGCAAAGTAAATCACTAGCACTAAGTCAGCAGAGAATGCTGTGGGTTTAGACTTAGTCAAGCCAAAATTTTCAGGGGCTATTATACTTGTGCCGTTTGAGTAAACCACATATGGAACATCGTCTGCTAAAACGACTATGCCTTTGATATCTATGAGTAGCGGTATCTTTATCATGACCATTTTGCTTGGATTTTTCGGTAAACCTTCAATTTTGTTTACACGCTGATCCTTCACCTGATACACATTCTTCTCATTATCATAATAATAAAGATTATCAAGCGTATCTAAAACTATTTCTTGAGCATTTTTTACTCGGTTGTCCACGTCTGATTTACTGCCGTTATCAAATATTTTGTATAAATCGTGATTTTCAGTAAGCGCATAAATAATACCACTGCTGTTTTCTACAGCCAGCGAAATAATGCTTTCGTTCAAATTTCCATATTTATAGGCTTTATTTTCTTTATGGTTGTACGTATATATTCCTTCTTTGCAAGCAAAAAAAACGTTACCTTCTGCATCGCCATCTATGTCTTTACCGTTGTCATGTAACTTCGTTGTACTGTTTTCAACAATAACGTACAATCCTTGAGCTATTTTACTACCATCATTATTTATATCAGCTTCTAGAAAAAACACAAATATTTTTTGCAATTCTTCCTTTAACGGTAGCGATGGATATATTTTAACGATGTCATGTTGTCCTTTGTGTATGACCCTTTTTTCATCTGAATCATTCTTGGTTATTGTTATATTGATACTGGCATTAATAGCAAGTATATAATGAAGAGCTATTACAAAGATAGCTAAGGATTTCATTTTTAACCTGTAAACAAAATACTAACATTACAACTCTGCATATCAGGACTTGAATTTAAAACAATCGGGAAAAGATGAATCGGGAATGCTTTTCATTAACTTTTAAGGGAAACCGTAACGGTTACTTTAAGAGTGATAAGTAGTCGTTCAACTTATATTTAAAAATCTTACCTATTAAAAAGAAAATAAAAGTGACTTTAGATGAAGCAATTGCTTGTTTATACGACGGAAAACTACAGAACCCTACACTATGCAGGCCACGACACGCACTTGGTTACTGCTTTAAAATCACGGAACATTACTTAGTTTATGTCTTCGGGAACTAATTGAGTATCGGTTAGCTGATTGTCATTTAAAATTTTAAAATAATCTTACCTTTCTTGCCTGGTATAACTTCGGAAGAAGAAGTATGGAAGGAACGACCAGTAACTACTGACTGACAATGAGATCTTCGTTGAAAGTCACAAATAATTTATAACTTACGATTACTAATTATTAAAACATTAACTAATATTAATTAGTATTGTTTTGTCAACATCATAAGTAGGTAGGTAGATAATGGCTAGGTAATACAATAATGACTGACAATGATTTATGTTCTTTGAAAGTCACAATTTATGACTTACTATTACTAATTATATTAAAGATCCCGCAAATCAAGATACAATATANCGAGCCACAGTACAGTTGATGTCGCGCGGAAAATGTTCGCTAAAAATTCCACTTTAGTTTGTAATTTTTTTTTTGGTGGATAATGCGTTTATATAAATCATAATAGATCACCTAAATAAATATGGCGAGGATTGAAATCAACACCCTGTATACAACTCACTTGTAAAATCCCACCTAATATACCTTGTTGAAATCTGGGGTAGTGCTTCAAAAACAAAAATATCCGAACTCCAAGTCTTACAAAATAAAATCATTAAATTATTATTTCATTATCCGTACCTCACATCCACTTCCAAGATTTATAGCGAAACACAAATTATGAACATTAAAAAATTATTTATGTATTATACCTGCCTGCTCATACGCAACGTATTGAATAAAACCATCCATACGTCGCTCACTCTGATGACGCGGTCAGAACAGGTTCCGAAGCGCACGCGCCGCACAGTGGACGGAAAATCACGTTTCATACTCGTAGAAACCAAAGTCCGTTTTTAATTAAATAAATTATAAATAATAAATAAATAAATAAAAATTCATTTATTTCCAAATATACTTGTACAGAGTTATTACCGAGTCTTCCCGGTAAGTAGTCAGAGACACTTGTATTGGGAATAACTCGCTACTTCCCATTAGGATATCTCTAATTAATTCTAGGAGTATTAGTTCACTAAGTAAGCATAAATTTACTTTGGNGAAACTTGTCCTACATATTCATGACGTTGTAGAATGAGCCTTACTTATTAAATTTAATGTCTAAAACTAATATTTACAATTTAGAAAATTATATTTAATTTTGTTTTGAACTTATATTATACTGATTTACTTTTTATCGCCAATCAGATGGTATAATTTGCTAAAGCCAATGCTTTTTATAAAACATATCGGTGCGAACGATTCAAATGTAAATTATAATATACTTAGTTTAATTTTGTTCTCAAGTAAGTGACAATTATGTTTTTATTGAGAAATAAAGAATCTTTAAACCTTATCGCTGCTAGTTGGCCGTACTTTAATCCTTATTTTCACCTCCACGGAAAGAAAAATTTATAAAAGCGCACATTTTGTCTCGTTATTCATTAGCTCTTCTTATTTCCGTCTGTTGTTTAATTTATTAAGAAGGCTGTTAGTCAGCCAGTAATTACTTAACAATTTGAGGATGCTCTTGGGGATTTTGACCCAATTTAGGGGTCACCTTTTTGAGTGCCTTATTCAACGGTTCTACTTCTATGGGCTTTGTTTTGAAATAAGGATTATTGTTTGTCAATTTATTTAAGTTTTTAATTTTTAGTACATCAAAAAAATCAAATAGTGGTAAATATCAGAATATCGTAGGCTATTACATTATTATTAAACACAAGAAGAACTATTATAACCAAGAATATACAACTAATTATACAGAAAAGAAAAAGTATTTATTTGATAACAATTATTTGCTAGCTTTTGCCAGCGGGTTCGCCTGCCTTAATTTAAGTCCTTTGCAGAGGTATCCTCCTCTCCAAAGTCGAGTAAACTATTACTATGTTTTTACTTAAGTTTCAAACTATTACTGTATAACTATTAGTACGTATGTATGATTTTGTTACTAAAATAATGGCTCAATGGAAAATGTTTACACAGTAATCGAGCCATTTGCCCGACCAATGTTCTGCAATGGAAGACGCTCAATTAAAGTGTCATTTGTCGTGTCCATGACAGTGCTATTGATGCAATGTCAGCCCGTGACATAGGGCTGTCACAAAGCAGATCAGTAGACCTAGGATATGCGCCGCGATAAGCTTTTATCGCGAAATTTTATTGAATTTACGCGATTAGTCCATACGTTTGTGGTCTAAAAGCATATATAAGTTTTTATCACGGCGCGCATCCTAGCCCGGCTGGATTGAAACAACTCAAGGCCTTTAATTGTGGGTATAATTTTGTGTTGTATTTTTATTGCAAAGAGATCACTCCCTAAGTCCCTAAGGATATGACTGCCTGCCTAAATAAATTATGCCTTAAATTTTTTAGTTTTGATTGAGAGAATTTCCGTATCATCATTATTTTAGCCACAGGACGTCAACTGCTGAACATGATTTCTAGATTGCTAGCGGCCTACGTTCAGCGTCTTCCTGCTATATGTAGATCGTTTCATCCACGAAGATGCGCCCCATAATTCCGCCGCTAATGTTTGAGTGTTATCGGTACACGCACGCTAAATTATCCATGAGTGCACACGCACACTACAATAATGACGCTCGGATTGCTCGGATCAAACTCCCCGCACCCCGCGCTTCCGTCGACCAAAAATTGGTGGGGCGCGTCTTCGTGGTTGAAACGATCTATACCTGTCCACCTTAGGGGTTGAAGTCCTACGCTTTTCATCAAAACATAAATTAGTATAAATAGTTAATTAGTGTAAACTAAACATTTTTATCAGTGATAAGATAAGTTGTTTACACAAAACTACTTTAAAAGTATTTGGATAACAAAAGGTGTTTTTAAAGTATTGACAATCTCAACAACAGTTACACGTAAGTACGTCATGATAATTTAAAGACTGCGTAAGTTTTTAAATCTTTTTATCAACTACAGCAAATTCTAGGCAAATTCCTCTATAATTAATCATGTGAGTTATTTTAAACAATGAATCTGGATGTATTCAATTTTATTCATAGTGTTTGACTAGCTTCTGTTCGTGGCTTTACCCGTGTGAATTTTGGCCTTAATGGCAATGGCTTAATTTGGCAATGATTTTGATCCTTATTTGTTGCAAAATAAAAATAGGATAAGTTACTCCTGTAGGCTTAGGATGCGGCTCAATAAGTTTCTATAGTACAATTTTATAAATTTTACACGATAAGCCCATACGTTTGTCGTCTTAAATCATCGAAAATATTTTATCACGGCGCGCATCTTTTCCCGGCTGGGATCATACGGAAACATCTACCTTTTTTGTACTTTTTAGTTGACAGTACATCAAACTTCATATTTTGCAAAATAACGTGTAGGTAACAAAATATCTCGTTGTTTACCCTGATATGACATATCGTCCTTAAGTGTTTTAAATAAATAGTTTTAAATAAATAAACACAAGGTGACAGCCCTAAGGCATACCATTGTCCACCAATTGGTAGCTGATCCCGCTTCCGTGTTAACGCGCGTCTCATCATCGCTTGTCAGCTGTTCACTTGACTTTAGCCAGTAGCTCAAATGGAGCTCAATTTATAGATAGATTTTATACCTATAGGTATGCTTCCCGCTTGCGACTTTGTCCAGTTCTGACACAAACGTAACGTCAAAAACACTTTTATCAAAACTTATTTATGAATTATAAAAAAAATACACTAGATCCCTTATTCCTTTGTTCCCAAAAACGTTCTTTAATATTTTCCACTAAGGTTAATTAATAATTAATTTTTTGGAACATAAACGATAAAGCGGGTGTTCTCTCGTTACCGACGCTACAACTCCTGTGTAGCCAAAATCTACAGCTATTATGCAAAACAGTGACATAATATGCATGCAATTAGTATACCTAATTACGACACACACACATTCACGATAAATATTCATGGACATGAAATAATATTAAGTTAACGTAAAATACAATTAAGTGCTATGACAAAATTACTAATATCCACAGCCACACATAAAACACATAACGATCATGTCATAGTCATAGTCATATTATGTAATAAATAATGTGTGATAACAATGTCGATTAACTAGGCGATAATAGCTATAGCCCACATCAAACTAGCTTTATGGATAGTACAATGGTCCAATAGATGATTGTAATAAAGTTAAAGATAGTAAGTCATATTGTTATAAATGCTTTAATGTTGATGTTGAAACGGATACTTTATGACCACAAAAGTTACACGACTTTTCCTTACATTAAATCAATCTATCTGTTTACTTTATGACAATGAAAAAGTGTAAATAGTTGAAATAAAATTATGTTTTCTTACAACAATGGTAAAAATTCATATATTTTTAAACAACAACAAAAGCAAAATTCAGAAACTGTAAATCGATTTCACGTTCTTTTTGTTTTAATTTTGACCCCGGATACCATTAAGAAACGACATGAAATGTTTTTATTCAGTTAAGATTAAGATTGGCACTTTATCAGACATTATTTTAGAACTTTCACTTCTGAACGTAAGTCAAGTATTATTACAGCTGTCCATTAAAGTTGCAGTCAGCATCAAATCGTTCGTGATACCCAAAATAGCCAAAAAGTTCGCAACACGTCTTTGTTACAATTGGAATAAGGTTTTGTTGACGACTTTTTGGCCACTTTGAGTGTCACGAACTACGAGTATTTGACGCTGACTCTACCTACTGTCCAATAAACTTTACTGTGGCCCATCTATAGTCACGTCCGACGATTTTATAGTCCCGTCGCAAGACGCGGGCCATAAACCAGCTGAATTGCTTACAAAACAGTCTAGCCTCTTGATTATTTGCGGGAAGTGTCCATAAATTGCTCTAAACGCTGTGTTAATTCAACACTGTAAACACTACATGTGTTTCGCCTATTGTGTCGAGAGAGTTATTAATTCAGACCGTATAAATTTGAGAGTTATTTAGAGATATCCTCACCGTGTGTAGTGTCGAAAATGACTAAAGCGGCTACATTTGACTGGCTGTCATTTACGGTCAAATTGGTCAAACTAGTCAAAAACGGTCATTTTCGGCCAATTTGATTTCAGTAATAGTTTTGTACTTTTTAAGCTTTCTCTTAGATTTTGTGATTGATAAGAGTCTACAACATCTTAATTGTATTAAAAAGGTGGTTTTTTAATGATTTATTACAGTTAAACATTTTATGAATAGAAACATTAATCAACAATGGGATTTTCG